TTTTATTGATATGAACACTATTTGACATGGCTATTTGTTTATTTGCTAACCTAAATGAAGGAACTACTGTAATAATAATAATAATAATAATAATAATAATAATAATACATTTTATTTATAGGCACCTTTCAAAACTCTCAAGGTCACCTTACAAAAGTCAATAATAAAAACCACAATAAAAGCAATAAATCAGTTAACAAAACAAAATAAAATAGAACTATGAGAATAGTGGTAGTTAGATTTATGGTTCAAGTGTGTATGCTTTCTTGAGGTTTTGAGTTGAGATTTGAATGATGTAACGGAGATGGAATTGATAAGGTCCAGAGGGAGAGAGTTCCATAAGCGGGGGCCGAACAGCTGAAGGCTCTTGACCGCATGGTGGTGAGGCGAGCAAAAGGAACAGTCAGTTTGGAAGAAGCAGAGGATCTGAGATTGCGAGGAGGAATGTAAGCATGGAGAAGTGAGGAAATATATGGAGGAGCAAGGCTGTTAATGGCCTTAAATTTAAGAATGAGGATCTTCTAAATGATGTGATATTTAATGGGAAGCCAGTGTAGTTGCTGCAGGACTGGTGTTCTACGACAAATGGAAGGGGTTCTGGTGATAATCCGAGCAGCAGAGTTTTGAACAACTTGTAGTTTATGGAGGAGTTTGTCTCGTAAGCCAAAGAGAAGTGAATTGCAGTAATCCGAGCGAGATGTGACCAGAGCATGTACCAGAATGGCTGTATTGTTGGGTGTAAGAGATGGATGCAGGCGGGAAATGTTACGTAGGTGGAAATAAGCTGACCGAGTGACATTATTGACATGAGAGTGAAAAGATAAGGTACTGTCAATAACGACACTCAGACTCTTTACCTGGGGAGACGGAGAAACGTGTGAACTATCAATGTAAAGTGAAAAATCATTAATCTTGGAGATGGTGGATTTGGTGCCAACAAGTAAAATTTCAGTTTTATCACTATTAAGTTTTAGGAAGTTGTTGGAGAACCAGGGCCTGATTTCCTGAAGGCAGTTAGAGAGGCAGGTAGGAGGAAGAGATAAGTTTGTTCTTGAGGAAAGGTAGAGCTGGGTGTCATCCCCATAGCAGTGGAACTATATATTGTGTTTACGAAATATGCAGCCGAGAGGGAGAATGTAGATAATAGGAGGTGTCCAAGGACAGATCCTTGGGGTACACCAGAGGAAAGGGAAGCGGGAACTGCATCTAAAACAACTAAAGCAGTCAACACAACAAACTAAATGTGTAAAAAAATAAAGAAGACCTGAGAAACAAAAGAATAAAATCATAAATTTTAGTTTTTAATGTGATGTTTGCACATTTAGGGTGTTTTGGACGTACCTCCTTCTCCTCCTTTTTGTCTCTCTCATCCTCAGGGCCCAAGAACGGTTGGAGCGTTTCTTCCCACCATTCGTCATCCACCCGCCTCTTCCTGGATGACGTCATCCAGGTGGGGTCATATTTTCTTCCCAGGTCCTTTAGAAACCCGTTTCCGTCCACGGCCACCACGTACGTCAGTGGTGCTGTTGCATTCTGGGAGCAGAGGTGAGGCACGCCCACTCCTTGTTGCACATCTACACAAACCCAGGAAGACGTTTTGTTGACGTACACCTCGATCCACTCGTCTGCTCCAGGCCCCTCTTTGCTTCTCCCACTCTGTCTTTTGCTTTTGTTGCATGCTACACCTTCATCTTCATCATCTCCTTTACTTTCCTCCAACTCACTGTCGTCCTCAGAGCTTTTCCGTTTTTTCCCACCGCTTCTTCTTTTTGGAGTTGTCGCATTTTTGTTGTTTGTTGATCTGGCCTTCCTCTTTGCTTTCCCCGTCTTCCTTTTTGAAGATTCTGCCTCGCTCTCTGAATCCTCACTGTCACCCTCACTGGTTGCCTGAAACTCCTCCGCATCACTAAGCTCCTCATCGTCACCCTCCCCTTCACTGTTGCTATCCTCCTTGTAGCTGACCTTTGAAGCAACACTGCGGCGTTTTGAATTTTTGGGTCTCTGTCCTCCTGAAGACACGGGCTTCTCCTCTTTCTCCTCCTCAGTTTCTTTCCCCCTTCCTTTGCCTACAGTGCTGCTTTTTGTTTTCCCTCCTCCTGGTGGTCTCTTTGTGCTCCGAGAGGCTTTCGGCTCTGCAGAGTTGGTCTTGGACGTCTCCTGACTTTGACACCGTTCTGGAGCCGAGGTTGATTTTCTGGCTCCTTTGCACTGGGGACAAAAAAAACAGATATTCATTTTGTTCACATCTTTTTATTGATATTTGTGCTCACAAAACAAAGTGTGGCTGCTGTTAATTTATCATTACAATTAAAAAGAGGCAGAAAAGATGTTGTATTTGTACCTTGGCTGAAGGTGGTTTGAACGGAACTGGCTGTAATGAAAGAACCAATCGGCAGAAAAGCTGCAAAGACCTCAGAATTAAAAGAAAAATCTGCAGGAAACACAAAAATACAGTTTTATTTACTAACTTACATATAGGTTTTGTATTTAAAACTAGTGGCTGGTTTATAAAAAACAATAAACACAAACATGCGTCATTTCTTGGTGGTCTTTGGCGGAGAGGGAGGCCAGCCGCCTCTCCAGGAGAGCCTGAGGGTCCAGACGTTCCTCACAGGAAAGACTGGGGTTGAGGGTAAACGTTGCTTTAAACCTAAAAGGTGAAAAATGATCATAGAACCAACAAATCCATGAATATTATTGCTATTAAAGAGATGATTTAAATCTAAAACAGTTGGCATTTTAATGACAGCTACGAGGTCAATGTTTGATATTTAATTAAGAGGTGACAGAACTTCTTATCTCGTGTTTTTCAAACTCACACACCATTTAAGCAGTCCAGAGAGGTAGTTTTGGTCGATGCGTTCCTTGGCGACTGCGCAAAAGTGGGACGGCAGCAGGGACAGGGTGATGGCCAGGAGGTCCGGTTGGCTGCACAGACGGTTGCGAAACATCCCGTTGGCTACGAGGCACAAGATGTGGACCTAAGTGGAGAATCAGAAGTTAATAAAGATCCAAAGCCAGATTAGACCAACATCAAGCAGCTACTAAAGACAACATGGGTTTTCACCTTGTGTGTGTCGATCAGCAGGTCCTTTTTAAACCTCTTCATCATTCGCCGGAGGTATGTATCCACCTCTGCCTGCCTCTTTTTCCTAACATAAAAGCATTTTCATGCGTTTTATTCTCCTTATTTAATTTTTTTATTACTTATTTTTGATCAAAATTAGAACTAAATAGGAATACTTTAGTAAATAAAATATTTTATTTACATTTAAGCATTCCAGCATATATTCACTTACTGCTTTCTGGCTTCTGCCGTCTCTATCTCGATCTCTAAGGGCTGAGAGGGCAGGACCGGCTCAGGTGGGTCGACTGGACCAAGAGGTTCAGCCAACTCTGATCAACACAAACAACAAGCTCTTTGTTTTCACTTCTGTTTTCTTTTATTCCCCAATACTTTGCCTTTTAAATAAGGAAATTTACCTTTTTCATCACTTCAAGAAAACCTATAAAAGGTTCATGCATTTTTTTTCAGTTACTTGCCTTCCACTTCCTCCCAGTCATCTCCATCCTCACTGTCATCCTCCTCTTTCTCTTCTTCTCTCGCCAGTTCCTTGGCGCTCACGTTAACCACAGGTGGTGCAGAGGTCACCATGTTGAAGTCATCCTCACTATCAACCTCCTCCTTCAACGGAGACGCAAAGTATTTACTGGTTTTCACATCAGTGCCGACGTTGGCGCTGGAAGAACTCTTGGCTGCTCGTTTTGAGGAAAAACGTGGTTTGGGGTGGACCTTCCTCTCAAGTTTCTCCTCTGTATCATCATTAACTGGGTCAAGAGACAGAAACGATAATTTAAAAACAAAAAGAAAAAAAAAAGTAGGTCCTCTGGATGGGTTCTTCTTTAGTGAAACGTTTCGTCTCTCGTCCAAGAGACTTCTTCAGTCTGATGAGTTTCAGGTGAACTCAGCCTTATAAGCACTGCCTCCACATGGACAAACAGGTTAGTCACATGCAAACAAAAAATATTTTAAAATATAATTACAACTGTGAACCCACAACTCAGCAGCCATTTTACAAAGTGTGCACGATGTTTTGATGAAGTAGAGCACAGATGTGCATCATCTGGGTCAACAGATCCACTCCAGTAATCATGCACATCCTTCATCCATGCACCTGCACTCTAAATGCTCATGCAATGTTTTTTTTTTTGCACACTAAGAAAACAGATAAATGTGAAATACAATTTAAACTAAAATACCAATTTATGAGTAATTGATGAGTGACTTCAAATAGCAGTTTTCAGAAATGAATCCAGTTTTTTAAGCATTATTATCAGTAATAATTATGTCTATTGTAATGAAATACAAATCATAACACTTAATAAAGCTATACGAGGACACACAAAGCCAAATGCTGAAGCACTGATTCACGTCCGCTTACTTGCTCTTTTTCTTATTTCAGAATGTAGTGCAAATGAATAATGTGGGTCCTGACTTTTTAAATACCTGTATCTTTCTTCTTCTCTCTTTTCTTTGCTCCTCTACTTTCTCCTTTCACCGCCCGCTTTAGTTTCTTTGTATCGGATTCTTCTTCGGCTGCCTCTGCACACTTTCTCCGCTTTGCCATGATGCTTTCAATCTTTTTTTCAAATGAAATAATTCCTGTAGATTTGTTAGACGAAACTAACACAGGCGGCCGCAAACGCTCCACATGGTCTTGCATAACGCGACGCAAGCCGCAGTTATTCAACACTTCATTCAGTTTTCATAACAGAAGAAATTCAACTCCGGTTGTTTTTGGGGGTCGGACACTGACGTCACATCCGCTTGTTGTCGCTCAGTCAAAACTAAAAGTTTACCCTTTCTGCATCCACATATTTTACTTACACGTGTTCTCTAGTGCCTAATATTAACAACATTAATTTTTTATCAATATTATCAAGCTCCAGTTAAGACTAGCTGTATATTTACGGATTTTTAATGTAGGTGTAATACCTCATATCGTCGCTGGGTGGCAGTGTGGTGTTATGTTTGTATTGTAGGACTTTTTCAAATCGATCAGGAATCTTGTAAAAGGCCAAAACTACTTTTAGTTCCCTTGTCATCTTTTATGTTTCGCCCTGGTGACACATTGAGAGCATTCGTGGACTTAAAAAAAATACTCGTGTTGCGTGACTGCACGGCTATATTTGTTGTTTTTTGTTATAGCAAAAATAATAATAACTCAGACAAGCAGATCAGCAGTCAGATGCAAATAAACTATATCTGCATATAAAGTCAAAAACATGTCATATATTTTAATTGTAGGCTCTCTGTACATGAATGAGAATATTGCCACTTTTTTAGACTGATCTGTTCTGTCAACTGTATTGCAACCTCATTATGGCATGAAACAAAAACTTAAGATGTGATGTAAGCCTTCATAACATGCACAGGTTTAAAAAGTGTGAAATGTGCAGTAATGCAGTTTTTCTGGTGCAAAATAACTTTTAACTTTTTAAAAAAAAAAAGGTAATTATATTTGAAAATATGTTATGTGATCAAAGATTGAGGAAAATAAGTTATATGTCAAGATTTAATTGCTGTATGATTCTAAGTGGATCGTATAGAATCAACGGGAGTCCATTAACAAACCTGGCCAACTGTCTGTCAAAATCACCTGGTCAGTGGGAACAAATGCATGTGGACGAGTCTGAAAATGTAGTGAAGCTGATGTCAGAATTAGATGTGACAGATTTAATGCAAATCTCCATCCAAGTTCCATAGCTACACTCTAAAAATGATATGTTGGATTTACTTAACCATGTTATGTGACCTGGTTCCACTTAACTGAGTTGAGTAAATTCAAAGCAACATGCTCATGTTTTGCAGGTCACATAACATGGTTAAGTAAATCCAACAAATCATTTTTTACAGTGTGTGAAACAGAGGGTTCTAAATTTTCCTTTATTCAATGTTCTGTTATAATAAATACAGAAAATATGCAGTGTTTCCATTTCTTTGGGACTGAATTACATATTTGTAAATATCACTGCCACATAAAAATATCATTCTAAAATATCTTTTATATATTTGCCTGTGTTGAGAAAACTTAACTTTTACCAAAGGCAAGAAGAACGCGGTTAAAATAGTCTGTGGACCAAAGCTCTCCCGGCGGTCTCGCTGCTTCCATTTTGCACACGCTGTACTGTTTCATCTCGACGGGGTCCCAAAGCTTAGTGTGGAAAAAAGACCATGACTGAAAGGAATTTCTGGCGACGAGTCGGCGCGACTCCCGCTCCCCCCCGAAACGAGCTCTGCTTCTCAGTTCTGAATCAATTCAGTTTATTTCACTTCAGTTTCACTTGAACTCATCTCGGTTGTGATCTGTATCGATCCTGATGGGATTCTGTGGCAGATGTGTGCGTTTCACTTCAGAGAACCGTCTGTCAGCTGATACAGTCGACAGCTTCAGTCTGGCTTGCTGCAGCAAGGGGCCTGGTGGGATGGTGATTGGGGTTGGGGGGGGGGGTGATTTCCATTCTCAGTGTTCCTTAATGCATGCAGCACACAAAAGCATGCTTTCTGCATGCACACGCATAAATAAATGCAACCATGTTTATTTGTGGGGTGCATGTGCACCCATATTCTTGTGAGAGCAGCGTGGCAGGTTTTCAATTCGTGGACGCTTAAACGTGCCCTTGCATCTGTTGCCTCCTGTGATTATGTGAAGCGTGGGAGCATTTGTGTGTGTGTGTGTGTGTGTGCGTGCAGTTGGTGGGGGGGGAAACAACAACTTTTAGGTTTTAGAATTAACACAATTCAGGATGTCTGCCACAGCTTTACAAGTCAGTTTTATTGACTTTAGAAGAAAAAGTGTGTGTGTGTGTGTGGGTGTTTGGGGGGGGGGGGGGGGTTTTCAGGTGAAAGAGCTTGAGTTTGTGGTCCAGTGTGCTGTGCTCCCAGCGCAGTGCATGGCTTCCATCCCTATATGAACCATTAGTGCAGTCAGATAGGAATAAAAAGCCATACAGTGAACTGGGAATTTAAAGGACTGCATTTCAGTTGGAAAGAGACAAACTACACTCACACAAACGCTCACAGTCAAATGATAGAAGATAGAAGGAAATAGGTTCAAATAAAACCCCCTCCAGGCAAGAGAAATGTGGAAAACAAGCAGCAGGTGAAGGACACAAATACCTGGAGAAGAAGATGAGCTGATAGAAGCTGACATCCTGCCCTCTATATGAGAAATACGGCAAAACACCTCGACTCAAAGGAGAAGTGAGAAGTGTGTAGGTCAAACGTGGAGCCTGTGCAATCTCATCAAACCTGGGTGATATTTGAGAGTTAGGAGGTGTTTACAGGCTTTTTTAAAAAAGGCACCAAGATGTGCTTTTATACCCAGAGGACCGCCTTTAAAGAAGCTGATTTCCCAACTGGAGTGTGACTCCTCAGCAATCTGTGGCAGGAAGATCCCTTACCTGTTAACATTCACAGACTGATGTATTTGAGGTGGCAGAGTCACAAAATTTACTTTTACAGTTGTTGTTTTTAACTCATCATCATTCTTCTTTAAAAAATAGGTAAACTAAATCACAGCATCACAAATAGTCTACAATAACCCAACTGATGTTTAAAACTCAGACAAAGAAGTTTAAAAAAAACAGACTCATCCTGCTGATAGAAAGGTGCAAAAACTGATGCAAAATGTCTTCATGCATGTTGTTTTGAGATGCATTTTGATCTAATGGTACGTTGCATCGGTCTTGGAAAACTCAATTTCCCTGCTACGAATATAAACAAAAACTAAAAACTCAAACATGCTTTTTTCGAAAACAAAGACATTTTGCCTCAGTTTAACCTAACCAGTCTCACGTTAAAATTGTTTATTGTAAAAAAGAAACTGTAAGATAAAGGAGCCAAACTTTCCCACAATGATGGCACCTGTTGACCCAACATCCACATTAACAGCAGGCTGAGACAATAAGTGGAACTTCTGACAGAAAACAGCTCATGCAACTGTTAAATCAAAGTCTCATCTTTGAACACAGAGTGTCTGGTGAAGGGTGAAGACGACTGTGAGGGATGAACACAGGTTAAAACAGGCAGATGTCTGCAGGTGCTTCTGCCGGAGCACGACTGAAGTATCCCTTGGTGTGCTGAACTTCTGGGCCTCAATGGATTTGGTGGGAAAAAAGGTTCAAGAATTCGGCTGCATTAAAATTAGAACATCGAATTTCTGCACATGTGGAGTCGGTGCGTTCTTGCTGTTTTCTACAGAAATAAAAGCGTGAGAAAACCGCTCCTGTCGCGCCTTAAGAGGCTTCACAACTTCAAGGAGCGGATATGAACTAAATCCAATTACCAGGCTGTCAATCAGGCCCCTAATTAGTGCGACTCCAGCAGACTGAGCGGCCATCAAAGCTGGAAACTCAAAACAAGAGGAGATGAGAGAAAAAAGAGATACATTACAGTAAATGAATGAAAAAAAATAAGACAACTCGAGACATTTTCAGCTGGAAACACAACCACCATAAATAAAGCTCATCTCAGACGCTTCCTCGCACAGCCTTCAGACGAGCTGCAGCTATTTCTGGCTCGCCGGAAAACTGAGCAACAGCAGCTGGAAGAAGGGAGGGGAGGGAGGAGAAGAAGAAGAAGAAGAAGAAGAAGAGGCGAGCATCCATGCTTCTCGAGCTGGGACCTGGCCGGTCCTCTCTCTCTCTCTGCGTCCTCCGTCCGGGGACTTCTGAGATCCGAGCAAACCAACAAACACAGTTTCTTTTTTGTTTGTTTGTTTGTTTGTTTCTCCCTCAAGGTCAGTAGAAAGTGCCCCCTCCCCGCCCCAGCACCCCCCAAAAACAGTAGCTCATCTCCTGCCCAGGTCATCCTGTCCACACAGAACGGGGCTCGGCGATGCTGCCGCTGCCACCGGCGGGTAGATGGAGTTTGACCGCCCCTTTACGCATCTGTGCGTATTTCCATTCAGCGGCAGAGCCAAACAGACAGCCAGGGAGAGCGAGAGGAAAGTGAGAAAAGGGGAGGGAGGTGTGGTGGAAAAGGACAAGGAGAGATGGGG